ACGCACCGAATTCTGCCTTGAGTAAACAAGGCTATCATACAATGAATGCTATTACAGAAAATGCTCTATCTGCTTGTTGGGGCATGCCGAAGAAGCGCAGTAAAACCGAGGAAGAGTGAGTACAACTTTATTTATGAACAATACTATAAAGAAATAGATGAATTGTATATCTTTGTAATATTATGATTTATTAAGGTATTTTGAGGATGATGATGAACCTCCAACTTCCTCATTGGAATATATACCTGCACCCGGTTCTCCCACATATGACTTAATGAAAAAATCGTCAAAGAAGGATGAGAGTGACAGTGAAGAAGATCCCTTGGATGCTTTCATGGCGGGTATTGATGCAGAAGTTAAACGAAACAGTTCTGCAGCTCAATGCGACGACCAACGTAAAGAAGACAAATCTAAGGGATTTCGGGCAGATATCGATGGAGAGGATGATGAGGAGAGTTACTACAGGTATAAATTTATTACTTAATACATGATTTTATTGCTAAAAATAATATACGATGCTATTACTGATTGCATTTCTCACATAAAAATTATGATAAGAAAGATATACAATCTGATTTTTATTTCGCTGCTAAGATATATGGAAGAAAATCCAACTGCCGGCTTGCAGCAAGAAGAATCCGATCAAGAAATTGAATATGACGAAGATGGCAACCCCATCGCTCCACCAAAAAAGAAGGAAATCGATCCATTACCGCCGATTGATCACAGCGAAATAGAATATGAGTCATTTGAGAAAAATTTTTACAATGTGCATGAGGAGATCGCAAGTTTGGGTAAACAACAGATCGACGATTTGAGAAAGACTCTGGGTATAAAGGTATCCGGACCGTCTCCGCCGAATCCGATTACAAGTTTCGGCCATTTCGGTTTCGACGACCCGCTCATAAAGGCTATCCGTAAGAACGAGTACACACAGCCCACGCCTATTCAGGCGCAGGCGGTTCCCGCCGCTTTAAGCGGGCGAGATATAATAGGCATAGCGAAAACCGGTAGCGGCAAAACGGCGGCGTTTATCTGGCCGATGTTGGTGCACATTATGGATCAGCGTGAACTGAAAGCTGGAGACGGTCCTATCGGTCTTATTCTGGCGCCGACCAGAGAATTGTCTCAACAGGTACTTTCGATTGTAATTTTATTTTTCCAGCTAATTTTTGAAAAACGTACATTCTATCACGAGTTGTTCACAGATTTATCAAGAAGCGAAAAAATTCGGGAAAGTTTACAATATTCAAGTGTGCTGTTGCTACGGAGGTGGCAGCAAATGGGAACAGAGCAAAGCGTTGGAAAGCGGCGCGGAAATCGTAGTCGCCACTCCTGGCAGAATGATCGATCTAGTTAAGATGAAAGCAACGAATTTGGCCAGGGTTACGTTTTTGGTTCTGGACGAAGCCGACAGAATGTTCGACATGGGATTTGGTAAGCAAACGCGTTATAACACGGATTGAGATACTATGCTGACGATATATCTAATCATTTATATCGTTTTTTTTTTTAGAACCGCAAGTACGATCTATATGTAATCACGTGAGGCCTGATAGGCAAACATTGCTATTTAGCGCGACATTCAAAAAGAAAGTAGAGAAACTTGCTAGAGACGTTCTGACAGATCCGGTTAGGATAGTGCAAGGTGACGTCGGCGAGGCTAACACCGACGTGACACAGCACGTTATCATGTTCCATAACAATCCTAGTGGCAAATGGACCTGGCTGCTGCAGAACTTGGTCGAATTTCTAAGCGCTGGCAGTCTTTTGATCTTTGTCACTAAGAAGGTGCGAAAGCTAAGCAACCGTAGCGCAATGTTAAAAGAGTGTGTAATTTAATATTTTCCTCCTGCCAGCTGAACGCGGAAGAGCTCGCCAACAATCTCAAACTCAAAGAGTTTGACGTGTTGCTTCTGCACGGTGATATGGATCAGATTGAGAGGAACAAAGTGATTACGGCTTTCAAGAAGAAGGATGTCAGTACCTTAGTCGCCACTGACGTAGCCGGTAATTGGATTCTTTATAGCGATATCAAAAATGTATATGCAGAATTCTAATTGTACGGCATTTCAGCGCGAGGTTTGGACATTCCGCATATCAAGACTGTGGTGAATTACGATGTAGCGCGAGATATCGATACACATACACACAGAATAGGAAGAACAGGCCGAGCCGGTGAGAAGGGCACAGCGTACACTCTTGTAACGGAAAAAGATAAGGAGTTTGCTGGACATTTAGTGAGAAACTTGGAAGGAGCGAATCAAGAAGTGCCAAAGAGCTTGATAGATTTGGCCATGCAGAGCGCTTGGTTCAGGAAATCGAGGTTTAAGGGTGGAAAAGGAAAGAGCATGAATGTCGGTGGAGCTGGACTTGGTTTCAGAGGCAGACCCGATACTTCAAATTCGGTATGCATCTGAAACTAATGACGTTTTATATAAATAATTACGTATTCTATTGCAAGGATAACTACACGTTTTAGAGCGGATCATCGTCGCAAGCATCCAAGGATATTAGCGAAGTTGTTAAAAAACTAGAAAGACACGGGCCAGGTAGCGATCGACTTTCCGCTATGAAAGCCGCTTTCAGAAGTCAATATAATTCCCAGGTAATATGCGTGATTACGTCACAAATATACATCAAATCCGGAAATACGATTATATGAGAATTTGTTGAATCAACTTTTATGTATAAAAAATGATTTCTTATTTAATGCATTTTACAAAAATTTAAATGTTATTTTATTTTCTTTGAAGCAAAAAATTGATAAATTTATTAAAATTTACTAATCAATTGTGATCCACCATAGTTCCGAGCATCATCGGATCACACCTGGGAACAAACAATCACTCCACCTTCCGTGATAATGCCGCCTCCACCGACTGTTCCGCCACCAAAGCCCGTGGGCCAGGACAGTGAAGCCTCCAATTCTTCAGCACCGGAGCGTAAAAGAGTGCGAAAAAGTCGATGGGAGTGATTGAGTTAATGTACCATTATCTGTGTATACTATAGCAGCTATTCTATTAAAACGATAATGAACAACTTGTTTTATATTACAATAAAATTTAATTTTACGAAGTTCTATGGACTATTAATTCATTTGATTCAGCCTAGTCACCAGCGGTTTATGGTTTCATCGACATATTAAGTTTAATTTTACTGCAATCCCGCGGAGGTCGCACGCTGTATGCAGTTCCTGTACAGTCTGTAATTGCTTTGAAAGCGCGTGTACGCGTCGGTCGCAATTTGCTTAGAGTGAATCACTCTATAATTATCCCATAAAGAGCCGTGACCGTGATCGTGTGTATCCGCGGCGATCCTTTTAATTTCACGATCGTACCCCTAATTGCGCCTTTTGCAAAAGTGATCACGGCTATCTCTCTGTAAACTGCGCCGCTGAAAAATGGATATGTCTATTTTTGGTTTCCTGAATGGTGCTTTCAGTAATTTTCTAATATAATTGATCAACAACAGAACCTCTTATTATATTAATTTAATGTGAATTGCCAAATTATTTATAATTCCGCTATCAACACACAATATAGTAGAGATAAATATTTTAATAATTTCGATTAAATTTTTGAATAATAAAAATAAAATACTATAAAATATTTGATAAAATTACACGAGCAATCATAATTAATGCTGAAATTTAGTCTCTTTACAAAAAACTTTGTATTTTATTCAAATTGTGCTTGTCTAATATTAGGCCGATTTATCGGGAACTCGATTTGAGTAGCAGTCTGAAGGAGTCGAAACCATTAATTTTATAATTCAGTTTATTAATGGGTTACATATTGAAATTATATTTATGACATCCGTTGAAGAAAATGCGAAGGTAATTCAATCTCCATACACAAGTCTGAAATTATTAAACTCTGAAACTTCCAAAAAACATTTTAAAATGTTTCGCGCCTTACAAGAATGGTTTACGAATATTAAGGAAAAAAGGGTAGCGCATAAAGTAATCGAGTGGGATGTCAAGAGCTCGAAACTTACTTCAATCAATGCGCCCTTATTTTTCCGAAAATATAACTATCATCTTCACTATCATCTTATGCATTGCTGTTTCTCTGCCGGCACGCGCGAGCATGAGAATAGGTATTCACTTAATATGAGGATTAAACCAAAGGGATAACGTCCAGAGCCATCAATCATGCCTGGTCGACACGATCGAGTGGGACGTTAATGACGGGTCTCTCATCAGTGGAATCGCTGACACGCGTCTCCGCGTCATTAAGCCGCATCGACACGCTCGGATCGGAGACGTCGGCGCGTGGCGTTGCGACGGAGTTTCTAACGTTCGTGAATCGCCCAAGGTCCGCGTTCACGGTTACCTGCCAAGGTCGTGAGAGCGCTACCTTCCGCCTTGCCGCGGCTAAGATATCCTGAAAAGAAATATCGATCAATCTTTTCCTCCACTTCCGTTTCGCTGTGATTCGAAAAAATCCGTGGTAAATCGATCTCAGTTTACGCAGTGGACAGTTTTCCACATTCCTTCAGGAACATTAAGGAGATAAATTTATGGCATCAGTTCATCGCTTAAGATATTTAAAAATAGTGTGCACTTCGGGCGGCGATCTAAAGACTGACGTTCCTTAAGAATTTATGTACTGCGGCATCATGGAGCTGCTCTTTCTCCTGGTTTTCTCCGTTTGCTGCGCGAAGCTCGCCGAAGTCGGCGACTTTTTTGCAGCGTCGACGTTTTTGCCGTTGAACTTCTCCATAGCTCTGGTGTACGAGCCCGTGCAGATCCGTCCCCAGATCTTTCGGTCTTCCGCGCACTGCCTGTTCCTGCCCTCGCTGGACGTACGCTGGATGTCGCTCTTCCGCGCAGCCTTGCAGACGTCCTCCTTTTCCAGAGACGTACTGGAGCCCGCGGTGGTCTGAACGTCTTCCCACGACGCGTTTATGTCGGACTGCACGCTGGACGGCGTGGGGCAGCTGCTGTCGCTGGACAGAGACGAGGAGCGGATAAAAGATGGCGGCACCACCAGCTTCACTCGCTCTTCCGGCTGATTGTCGGTTGTCGGTGGTTCGCTTTTTGCGCGAGAACTCGTCCTGCAGCCGCTGGAAACGCCGTCCTGATTGTCGTTCAAAATAATCTTCGCGATTGATGTCCTTTTTCTCAGATTCTCCAAATTCTCTCTAGACGAGCTCTGAGAGCTATCCACTCGCTGCAGAATGTCCTTCAAATTCACATTGGCGGTGTCAGTGCTAAAACTCGACTTGGCTCGTTCAATCTTAGGCGTTCTGGGTCCGAATTTTCCATTAGTCGTGGCGACAGCCATTTTTTTTATCGCTTCATGATTCTCGTCTTTGACTGCCGGGGTAGTTATGTCTGGATATATATAATTAGGCAATCTCTCCTTCTGGCGAATTGAAATGGTGATCTTCGGCTGCGCTTCTAGCGATTTTCGATACTTTTTATTTCTGTCTTCAGGTGATTCCGTCTTCGTGGACATGGCGCCCTTCACGCACTGCTTATACTTTTCATCTATCGTGGTATCCAGGCGTTGAGTGTTCGCGTTGTCGACAAAAATGGACTGCTCGTGGCTCTCTTCAGATTGCAGGAGTGACCACTGATCCAAGGATAAGTTCGTGATTTCGTCTTTCTGACCGATTAACTCCCGCGAAATGTCATTCTCTTCAGCATCTTTCGCGGAGTTCTGTTCGTCTTGCTGCGAAGGATCCTTCGTCTTCTCCCGAGTCTCGTCCTCGTCTTCGTCATCCTCGTTGCCGGAATCGTTGTCGAGGCTCTTCAAGAGGCCCTCGTTCTTCTCGTTCCGTTTTCGGAGCTCCTCCCAGTTCTTCCGCGGCTTGTAGCTCGTCTTTCGCCTGACGATCTTGCTCTCGGTGATGTTGATGTCCGGAATGAAGAGGCGCAGCGCTTTCGTACCAGTCGGGAACGTCACCTCGCTGATTCGTCTCTCGGACATGATCGCCTTCAGGCTCGCTTTTGAGGCAACTTCCTGGTGCTTGTTGAACGCCGAGACCAGCTGCGCCACCGTGTATTTCGGCTCCTCGTTTTCCGATTCCGTCGAACGGTCCTCCTTGTCGTCGGACGCGGCGGAATTGTTGGAACGACTGGAAACGTCGGAATGCTGGCGCTCGCAGAGACGTTTGTCTATATCACTTGGCTGCGCGTTGAGGCTCAGCGGCATCTCGTCGGAGTCCTCCGTCAGAGTGTCCGACTCGACGGACTTCAGCGAATCTAGATTCTCCTCGGACTCTGAGGTGAGCTTCTTCGGAATCTGCAATAAGTTCTTCATTTCATGTTTCGAATTATTCAACTCGACACAAGAGTCGTGTCGATTGTCGCTGCTAAAGTTACTCGACGTCTTCGTGTCTGTCGACACTGTCGGCACGTTTTGATTATTTTGCCTCGTCTCGTCAGATGTTAAATCGAACTGCGACTTCATATCGGTGGCCACCACGTGATCGTCGCTGATCGAAGGTGTGAGCCGAGCGATCTCGGCGTCGAGCTGCTTGAAAATTGGCAGCATGTCCTCGGTTTTCGCACGCTGGTAGCTCTTCCTCCGTCGTTTCAGGCACTCCAGGCTTCTGTAAATATCTAGGACACCCTGCGACTTCGACAAGGTCTTTAAACCGTACAGCTTCTCGCGGGATTTGCTGATGACGGGATTCATCGTGACGGCGCTGCTCTGCTCGGAGTTCATCGTTGAGGATCCGTTCAACAGACACGCTTGAGATTGAACGCGGTTCAGGCTGCGTATTCTCGAGAGTATGCCGCGACTCAGGCCTTGATTCAGGTTGGCCTGAGATCGGCTCTGAGCTTTGCTCAGCAATCCCTGCGTCTGCTCCTGATTCAGCAGGCAGCTCTGGCTCGCGCAGCTCAGACTGGTCCTCGAGGAATTCAGGCTGGCCTGAGAATCCGCCGGGCTGGGGAATCCCTCGCTACCGGCCAAGCTCGAGCGACTTCCGGTGAGGCAGTGATTCAGGCACATTTCACTTTGGCTCAGTAGGCAGTCCTGCAAACTCTGTTGATGCTGCTGTTGATGGCTTTGATCGTTCTGGATGTCCACCTGGCAGAGGTTCACCTGGCTGGTCGTTTGACTCATCAGCGCAACCCTCCTCAGATTCTCTCGGCTGACTACGCGTTCCAGAAGGACCTCCCTCGACTTCGATAGATATCTTCGCAGGTGCGGCGACGCCTGCATCGGGGCGCCGTGCAGCCAGTCGTGGCGCAGGCATTGTTTCGCAGTCATTCGTGCACTAAGAAAAAAAAGAATTATCTTTTTTTTTTTTATTTATTTGAGAGAAGCAAAAGAGCCAAAGCAAGATTTTCGTGTCTTTATAATCTGCCGCATTTACAATCCTTCTAACATACGCAAGTGTTCAAAACACATATTTAACAACTAAAACACCGCGCAAGATTGATCTATATATTTACTAAAAAATTTTTATTCGACAGAATTTACTAAAGAAAGTAAAAAAGTAAAGACACTTTTAATTGATTTAGAAATAAAAAGAATTCAATTATTTTCTTTCTGTAAATGTGACGATTGTACCTCGGGTTCAGCACCAAAAGCTTCGCGACAAAGTCCTTAGCCTGCGCCGAGACATCCTCGAATAATTCCTCGGGAAAATCCACTTCTCCCAAGGATATATTCTGAAAGGTTTCCTGATCGGTTTCGCCGCCGAAAGGAGAGAAGCCTGTCAGCAATACGTAAGTCGTGACACCGAGCGACCTGAAACGCAGATATTTTTTCCAAAATAAAGAAATATCTATATGTTTAATAAAAAAAATTGACAAATAAATATAAAATTAATAACAATCCAAAAATATGAAATTAATATAACCAAATGTAATATCTATAAAATTAACAAAAGCGGTGAAACACATGCCGTGTTTGGCCTTACCACATATCAGCCGCCAGCGTGATCGGTTCGTAATGCAATATTTCGGGCGCTGAAAGAGAGAAATGTAAACATCATTGAATATATGGAAATGTGCGCACAAAATAGCGTTCAGCGAGGTCTTGTCCATTTATTTTGTGTCCAGTGACCTCGCACGTGACGTCACTCGACTGCGTCACTTTTATTTATGCAGAAAAATCGAACGTAGGTGTCCGCGATAGTATCGGGACGATTCGCGCGAGATGCTGCTGCTGCGAGCGTCGAGATGGGTCGTTTCGACCGGCCGTTTCTATGCGCCCGTTAGCTCCGCGCTGTCGTTAAACTCGTCATTATAGTCCGAGCCGACCGTATCACGAGCCTATAAAATCTTCCGTAAAAAGTTGAGCGGCGACGGTCGATTTGCCAACGCGTTACGGGGCGAAGAAATACGATTGCAATAACTGTTATGGTCTATCGCCGCGAGACGTCGGACCGGATTACCACGATAGGGATCTTAACTACCTACCCGCCGATCCTATTATTTCATAGACAGTCGTGCGATTGGTGGCCGCGACGCACGTCAATTAAATCGCGCGCAGGTAGCCCACCGGTTTCCGCCTGTTTAAGCGCGGACGGACTTGGAGCAGCTTTTCTTAACGGTAACCACCTCCGTTATCTCCGTGACATTTCGCCGATGGTGAATAGAGAATAGGTGGGCGGGCGGGAGAGAAAGAGAGAAAGAGAGACGCGGATCGGTGACTCTCGACGTCTCGCCGGCCGAGATGATTGATCGGTAAATAATTTTCGGCGACGGAACAGACTTTAAATTGCAAATCGCATTTGGACTCGCGACGACGAGGGGAGAGATAGGCATTGTCCGCGCGAGATCTCAATTTTCGAGCGGGGAGGTGAAGGAAGGAGAAAAATTCGCGCACAAAGGAGGGACGTTAATTCATCGGCTCCGTCCGACTTTGTTATTTACTTCGTTCCGCGACGTAAAGGCCACGACGCGTCGATTACCTTGCTTGGAAACGGCACGATTTGAAGCGACCGTCAATTACAAAGGGGGAGGGCAGGGAGGGGGGAGAGGACCCCCTCTTTTTGTCCTGTATGCGTGTGCGTGCGCAGGTACGCGCATACCGCGGCCGGAGCTACCTCGGATTTATTAAGAGCGCACGTTTTCTACACGAACTCGCGGCAGCGTGCAATGAGGCTAACGTGTCAATTAATATCGATTATATTTGCGATCTCGCCACGGTGATCGTCAATTAGCGGGCCCGAATAATGATCGGTGGCAATTAAGCCGCGCGGCAAAGAGCAAAGCGCGGACGCACCACCTGGACGAGTCGCCATCCCGTCACGGTAACTCCGCGGCGCGGAATAATGCTCGGTAGACTTTATCTCGACAGCCATAATGTGGCAATTTATATTTTTCCTCTTGATTAAGGAAGTTTGTCAAGCGGAGCAGCCGTTATCGGCGTCGGTCTCACAGCGATCTCTCAAACGAGCGCGCTCCGAATTGTTCCGCGTCCGAGAGAGATTTATGAAGCGCGTTAAACTTTCGAAACTTCGGACGGATGTTAATGTGCTGAGGCACAAAGTGGAGCATTTTGCTTTTCCTACTTATATACGAAACAATTTATTTCTTCATATAAATAGCTGTTTAAGAAGATTATAAACTTTGCATCGACGTACAAGTAAAATTGTGAAATAATTCGTCGGAAGTTTGAATAGAAGTGTCACTCACCGACGTAATCCGGCGTGCCGAGAATCTCTCGGACCTCGGTGCCCTCGAGAATCACTCTCGAAATTTCAAAGTCACAGAGTTTAACGTCGCAGTCTGGAAAGGAGCCCATCATGACCAGATTTTGTGGCTGTGAAATGAAAAATAATCCTCAAGCATATTTAATTAAAAACTTTCGATACATCAAGCTCGACTTTAAACGATCCATAATTTGCGGCAGAATTTGAGATAAAAGTTCATGATATTATATCATGGAAAATATTTAAAAAATCTCAGAAAACAAAAATACAAATAACCGATGCATTATTTTGATTTTTTAAATATTCTTATACGCGGTGGATAAAAAAGTTGTATCTCAAATTCTGCCGCGAATCATAAATTGTCTAAAAAAGACTTGCGTAAATTTAAATAAAATTTAAATTCAAATTCTGCAGCGATTTCTGAATGATTTAAAGTAGATTGAGCCATGCTATTCTGAAAATGTTAACATCTTCGTTGCTGATCCGCAATGATTAAATTGCATCGCACAGTCCTATCTCTCGCTGAGCAGATAATTCTGCAGAAGTGCATCCGTATCTTGAAGAGCTGTACGCCGTCTGTCGCGGCGTTTTATCGCGGTCATAACGAAAGGGATACAATCGGTCTTCCGCGTGGCCGCGCAGATAAGCGTTGCGCGGGCATATATTAACGACGCGAGGAAGCGATTTCTGTATCGCGTTACAGCGCGCCGCGTATCGTCGCCGGTTCTCTCGGCGAATGGAATTTCGGTGTACGCGTGCCGTTTAGATTGCGGACTCGCCGTCGCCGTCACGAGCGTCGCCGATGTTACGACCGCACTTCGATGTCCATTTCGCGACGCATACAGAGTGCATTGTGGTATCCTTCCGTATTGGCGATTGTCCCGTTTATCTCAAGCTCCGCTCGCCTCGAGGACACAATCTCGGCTACTCCGCGACAAAGATGAGTTCAAGGAGCGCAGCGCGTTTTTGCGACGACCCGGTGAATAGCGGCGTCTGTCCGCCAATGTAAATACCATCTCGATGCCGGGCTGTAAGCCGGATTATATTCAAACCTCTAACGCGGCCGCGGCTAATCGATCGCGCGCGGACGCGGGAAATAATCGGGACGCGAATCGAAAAGAATCGGCCGGCGTCGATATTATCGCGGGATAATTTATGGAAACGTTACGTCGAACGAAAGATACGAGCATGTGAACTACCGTGCTTGCAACTGCCAACGGATCGCCGTGAAATTCAAAGATACGCCGACAATCCAATTATCATAAATCCTCAGTAACCGGCGTATAATGAAGGTCGCGCGCTGAGCATCGATTCGAAGGCTGTTATTATAATTGCTGACATAATCCAGATCGCACGGTTGTGATAGTCGGACTAGAGTCGCTTTCACCGACTCCGATCACTCGATCGAGCAGGCCGAACGTGCGGCATATACATAGATTCGTATGTGGAGCAGCACGCTCGAGCACGATTGAGCAAGATACGGTAAAGCGGCAGCGCCGCCGGTCACGCGTGGGCGTCGATCTAAAAGAATCAATTTCTTTATGCTAAATAAATATATGTATTATGCGCGATTATATATCCAGCTTCTTTATTGGAGATGAATCTCGATGGAAGACGCAGCGACCCTTTCCAAGCGCTCATCAGCGCTCGTCGGAATCATCGTCGGAATCGTCGACGCGAGGAGAGCCTTGGGCATTTTCACGTAGGCGCGCCACCTGAATATTCAAAGTTTCTCTTGGCCGCGTGCGACTAATAAATAATGACAAAAGACGTAAAAATAAATCTCGGCCCTCGAGATACGTAATTCCGTCGACCGTGGAGCCATTACGCGACGGCGGGAATATTACGCGCTCGTGCGCCCCGCGCATCAGCTTTACGACACAATAATATCGCGCGGAAGCTCTCGCAGCCGAATGATAAATAGGCCGCGCTGGTGGGAAGATTATAAAGAATAATGCGGTTCGCAATCGCGCGCTTGCAATCAAAATGGCACGCCGCGGTCTCCCGTTTCGCTCGCGCTCGTTCGCCGCCTTTTTTAGAGATTCCACTTTCCGCCGGACATCGCGTTTTTCCGTGAAATGACTGCCGATTAAACCGAGACTGATTCTCATTCAGGCCGGCTGTCGTTCGTTTCAGAGAGATTAGATGACGCGAGGATTAGATACGTCCCGGACTCGCGTCGTACGCAAATCCAATTTGCAATGGATTCGCTTGACGAAATAGGAAGCGCAATGTGTGTGGGATGAATTCAACGCGCTTCGTTTCCCAGAAAAAGCTGATTAAACGTTTGAACTATGACACCGATTCCATACAAGGGAATTTTGTTTTTGATCCATGAAAATTGAACAGGGTCGAATTCGAAATTGAGTGAAAATTGAATTTCCGCAGCGAAGAGCGCGATTTATAATATTTTGACGTTTTAATTAAATCGATACGAATCTCGCAAATTTGACGATGAACAGGATACGATGTCTGGCCACGGCGATCGCCTGGGCGTTTCGTTAATCAATTTCTTTCTTCGCTGTGACATTGGCCGCGGTATCTGATGACCGCGCGCGCAGACGCTCTCCAGAAGGATGTGTTCGGCGATCCCGCATTCGATTAAAACGACGGGATCTTTTTACGTTGTTCAAATAAGCGCGTGGGCCAACGCGCGAATAAATGTCAGCGTCACCTGATCTCTCAATCTGAGCGTTTGTTCTACGAGAAAGAAAAAACATTAATACATCGTGTCTGGCTGGAAACTGTCGGCAGTAAAATTAACGTTAATACACCTTGCAGGCGAAAAAATTATACATCGTCGAGCGTTGCGCGGCCGCGAGGCGACAATCGATACGCGAACCCCAACGGCCGGATCGGCTGGCCGTCGCGTCGCGCCACGCGATTTCCCTTTCGCGGGAATCGCCGGATTATCGGGAGTTGCTCCAGTTATGGTGGCCAGACACACGGGATACCCACGATCGCGGGGACCAGGTGTGATTCACCGAGAGTATGCACAACAGCGACGGGGGAGCAGGGCGTGGTCGTTCCGCCACGGCACGTCGCAGGTATGCCAGCACGGGGGAGCAGGGCGTGGTCGTTCCGCCACCACGTTCGCAGAAGTGCGCGCGCGCTCCTTCCGCGAGTCGACCGCGAGTTTCCCGCGATCTTTCGCAAGCCACGGGGTCCGCGAGATCTCATTTGCATATCTACGTCGGATCTGGTGCAGCGCTGCCGTCCGCAGGAAGCGCGTTACAGATCAGCGGCGATCGCGTGAGTGGCATCGACTTCGCTCCCTCGATGACCCGAGAGCCGATCTCAACCTGTCTCTCTCGTCTCATTTTTATCAATTATACTTTATAAATATTTTTATGCACATTTTTTTATAGCTCTTTAATTTTTTGATCGCATTTTTCGCGAAAAAAAATCACGCAGAGAAGTGAGCGAGAAAGAAAGAGAGAGAGAGAGAGAGAGAGAGAGAGAGAGAGAGAGAGAGAGAGAGAGAGAGAGAGAGAGAGAGAGAGAGAGAGAGAGAGAGAGAGAGAGAGAGAGAGAGAGAGAGAGAGAGAGAGAGACGACTCACTCAGAGTTCAATCGAGCCCATCGGTCTCCTTTTCTCTCCTGCACGCGCTATATATACTACGCCCAAATACGGCGGTAGTGTGTTTATGGAGCGCGGGAATAATGTTCGCGTCGTACGCAACGACGCGTACACACGCCGCCGTGTTGATCGCTTTGCAACCGTAGCGCTTACGAAATAAATCAGGTGGAAGCCGTTCGTCGCCGGGAGGGGAAAAACTTGAGCAACCCGAACGGCTCCGGCGACAGGTCGGAGTTGATTTATCGCGTCACGAGTGCGATAAATATTAATCGACTTATATCTAATTCGCGCAGTTAACTTAACCCGTTAATTAATCGCGCCGGTCGACCGTGGCACCAGGGACTCTTTGTTTCGCTTTGGGAGTATCGAACTCGGGCGTGCAATGCAAATTGACCTTAACTCGCGCGTATCGCGGATAAAAAAGTGCGAGGCGAATGCTGGCAAACCGACACCGGGTGTCGGTATTCGCGCCACCTCGGTCGAGGATGCTGCTAAAAGCACGACGACCTCTCTCTCTCTCTCTCTCTCTCTCTCTCTTTCTTTCTTTCGCGAGGATAACGAGGAGGAATCCTCCCCGGCCGTAACGAGCGAATCCGACGACCTCGTCGAATCAAAATGTACTTTACGACGCGGAGCCGCTTCTGCGCCTCCTCGCGCGCTGCACTGTCGCCGGCTTATTTTTCCGCGAACGCCTACGCGGTTTTATATTCCGACACACGTTCACCTCGTCCGACGTTAATCCGACTCGGGCTGTTGACCATCGCGTTTCTAATTTGATTAGCAAGCCGACGATAATACGCGTGTAATAAAAGTCGTCGCGAAAGGCGCGAGATCCGCTTCGATATATATGTAGTACGAGCGAAAAACGACGATAATACGGACGCTAATGGAACGATGATTAACGTCATAAATATTTTATCGTATATATATATTTGTCATATATAAATAGCCAGCTAGAAGGATAGTCAAAATATAATTTCTCACTGAGGAGTAAAAGCCCTCGCGTCGGTCAAACGGAGTGCAGCGTGCTCCATTTTTGATACTTCTAAGCTGCCGACGTTTTTATGCAGCTTTGAGCGAACGGCAAAGCATCCTCTCCGCGGAGCGATAAAACAATGCTGTCAAGATTAAAGACCGTCGGAGATTAAAGACCTCTTCGCGTATAAATGTCGACTGCCGCACGATATGGACTTACCGCGCGCGTCTGCGCTTAATTGCGCCGAGAGTTTTACGGCCGAAATAAAGAAGAGCAAGACAGAAGTGAGGCAGGTCCGAAATGTTTGCCGCTCGGACAAGCCATTCGGGCACTCGCAAAAAAAAAAAAAGGATGCCGACTTCAGAGAAGAAAGCGAGCTCGAGCGAACTCCGCTACTTTCGTTTAATAGACATTTTAACGGCTCGGAAAGCGCGCCGACTAACAAGAATGCCAGCATAATTGATGTGACATTCGCCGAAGGGAATGTTGTGTCGAAAGCACAATGCATCACGAGAATCTTTTCGCAAGCGTCTCTTCGCCGAACGGCGGCAAGAAATCAACACCGTCGGCGGCAGAGAGGAAAAAAAACATCGCGCACGAAGGTGTCTCAAGTTTCGAAAGTCTCGTTGAGTCGTCCGATTCTGTCCCTCGACGAGAACATGCTGCAACGTCTCTTTTTTTCCACAGATTGTCCGTATTTAAAAGCGAGTTTCGTTTTCGCAGATGTTGAAATAACTCGCGGACGGACGCGATAAATCGCGTACGAGCGACGCGCAGCCGTATTCGATTCCCTTCGTGCTCAAACGATCTCTTTTTTTTTTTCTCTCATCGAGCCGTGCCGCGATCGAGCAGACCCTACGATCAAAGACCGAGCGCGTGTGTGTTCCTTTGTTCCGTGACGCGGCGCGAATGGCAATTCCAATTTGTTTTCGAGCGGGCTTATCGTTTATCGTCCCGCGCGATCGATAGCGCGATCGGTCGCAATTAAAGCTCTCCTCCGCTGATAGCCGCGCTACATCGGTTTCACGGAATGGAGTTCGACGGCAATTCAATCGCGTGTCAGATATACCGGAACGCGACTAATCGTTATACATTTATATTGAGTTCCGAGTGGAACAGATCTTTAACAAAGAGCCACACAGGTGACATTCGAAGCGAATCTCGTTCCTACGCCTACTCTGTGCATATACGTTTCGCGTAAACGCGGAAAAAACATTCGGAAATTTCTGGCGTCGATAAGTGCGTCGGTTCCGGGATACAGCGGGGAGAAGCGTGACAACTTTGTATCGACCTTTTATGGGTCGCACTTACCTTGATGTCCAAATGGGCGATATTTCTCTCGTGGAGGTAGGCGAGTCCTTCCACTAGCTGCCGCACAAAGTGTACGACGTCACCTTCGAGGGGCACCAAATCGCCGTCGATGAGCGTCTGCAGATCGCCTCCGGGCGCGCTGAAAAAGAAATCGTCGTTACTCGGAATCGTCGTGATATAATCGGAGATGATGCTCGAGAGAGTGCTTGATGCGCGTTGCGTAGCTGGCGAGTCCGTATTGCGCGTTGTGCTTTTCGCGCGAGTGCTTTGTGACAATTTATCTTTCATAATAATAATAAATACTGTGAATTTGTACCGCAAAGCGTTTAATTTGGTTGGAAAGAGCGAGGTACTTACTATTCCATGACTAAGATGATTTCCTTCGGCGTCTCGTAGACATCGTGCAGCCTAACGACACGTGGAGACTGCGAGCACAGAGATAACAGAGCGATCTCGTGTCTCAGCTCTGCGCTGCAATCGGCATTGAATCGGTTTCTGGACGAGTATTTGGCCGCGTAAAGTATACCGGTTGATCGGGACCTGCAGCGGTAGACTCTCGCCCATTGACCGCTATTGAAGTATTAAATATTGACCAATATTTCATTAATATTTATTAAATCCTTACAAAAATATAGAAATATAAAGATGCCCTCAAACATTAAAAATAAAAAAAAATATTGTTGCATCCGCGATATTTTAACAAAGAAATAATTCCAACAGGAGATAAACACAATATTTCAATTTTTTAAAGCAGTGCTGAAATTCTTTCGTTAACAATAAATTGTATTAAACATAAATAAGGTGCGTGTGTATAAAATAAAAGAATTGAGCGATAAATTTTATATCTACAGTTTTATCTCGAGTTTCATCGAGCACAGCCACACCGTGTGATGTATAGCTATACTTTTATATCTCAATGTTCAGCTTCAATTTTTACTGCCCCGTTAATTTTATATTTTCACGGCAAATTTCGCCCTTGAGAAGAAACAAGTCAATGCTCGAACACCACCGTCTTCTCGGTATCCTTTATTATTACTTTGAATACTTTTCGCCATGTTCTTTCTCTCCATTCATTGAAATCTCCTTTCGCGGCTTCGAAATTTTCCACGAGGTCATGTCGACGTTTTAAACATTCTATAGTCTTGAATATTTTCAGCTTTTGTTGACTCTTTAAAGAGAGAGTATTTTCTACCGAATTAACCATTAACACATTCATTTTATTTCCCATTCTATTTTCGCGGGAACTTTAGTGTTCGTTGACGTCCCTTTCGCATACTTTGCTCGCTGTATCCCTGCGAGGTTTTTTATTGCTTCGACGATATTCTCTCGTGTTTTTCGCGGTACAGGATATCATTAATATCGTACTTAACATTCCACCGAGTGATCTAAATTATTTACAGTCCCGAGCGCGCGCTTCATCGTATTAAGAATCTCACAATCGCCGTCGAAGATTCCGGTCGTCTCCTCGGCAAGGTCGACATTGCGGCGCCTGGCAAGGCTGTGCCCGTAATGCGTATCTCACGTTTTCACCCGTATTTAAGCGCGCGCCTTTATGCACGGGAGAGTGTGTTACATAAACGACGCGGCGTTCATAAGATACAATCATAGATAATATCGCTCATTAACTTTCTATATCGAGATCATAAATATCGTGAGAGCCTGCTTAAGGATGAGCCAGCTTGAGTTAATAAATTCGTTTTTTTTTTTTCAAATTTATCTAAATCTACCGTGATTAATTATGCGAGGTGTGAGATTTCTTCAAATCCGCCGTAATTAATTATTACGAAGTGTGAAAATATCACCGTGTCGGCGAAGATTAGCGGCCGGAAGTTCAGGATCGGAGGATCGTCCCACGAATTCCCACGTTCGAGGCATGCGTCACGTGCGAATCAGCGGCGATATATTTATTATCGCCACGGCGCGTATTCGCAGCCGCGTTCCTTTCGCGGTCGCGAGATAAGGGTAATAAGCATCTGATAGCGCGACGCGGCCGCAATTAACTTTAATCGATTCCAATTTTAAGGCCACCCGCTGGTGTACCCTGACTTTTTTCGTCCCTCCCCCACGCCGGGCCGAGGGACTCGATTAAAAATGCGCGAGACGGAGACGCAAGAACAAAAGGAGCGGCCGCCAGACGGAGAGGGCGATGTCGCAATTTTTATTGCCCTTTACCGCGCGGGCTCAAGGCTCGCTTCTAAAAGTAATTACCACGGGCGAAGTGGGTATCAAAGAGCGCGTATACGCTCGAAAAGAACATTGAATCACCGGGGCACCGGGGGTACCGGGGATAATACCCCGCTGTATACGGCGCAACGATTAAAGCATTGGCCGCTATTAAAGATCGGGACGAGCAGTAATCATAGAAAATTGGATTTTCGCGATCGCTCGCGTAATGACAGCGCTCGGTGGGTGTCGGAGAGCGAGAACGCGCGACGAAATAATTTATGAAAATTTATCACTTTGGTCGTCCTTCAGTTTTTTGTTTCGCGCCGTTCAGACTTAAACAAAAAAATTTGCATAATCAAAAGCGTAGTATCAACAGTCCGAACTTGTTTTAATTTCAGTTGCCAACATTTCAATTATCGATCCTGACATTTATTATTAATTATTGGATAAATATTTCATTCAAGCGCCAATGTACAAGATGTGAAAAACGCGCGAGACGTCGCGTCGTATGAATGTGCAAATGTCTCTCTGTAAATCTCGGGATTACAATCGTAAACTCGGCCCGGCAATGGCGACTGTTTATGTATTATGCCTTTGTGCTGCTGCCGGAGCAGCAGGTAAATCAGCTTCATTAGCGATGCAAAAGTGCGCGACGGAGGCAATATCGTGGCGACTGATATCGGGCGCGCGAGTGAGAATTATCAATGCGTGCGCTACCCATTAAAACGGTCCATTAACATACCCATGAATATGAAATGTTTCAAAGTCCGCGCGCGAGTGAACTCGTTTCGCGCGGCCTTTTGTCATGCCTTCCCGCCGAAAGAGAGCCGCTATCAATTCTGGGTTAACAACCGGACGATCGATATCGTCAGGTTAATCAATAGCAGAATATTGAGAAAAATCCGGCACCTTCATTCTACGTCGTCGTCTCCCACGTTTGCTTTTCTCACGGCAAGGATATGCAAACGCGGCAATGAACTGAGCAAATATTTGTACTCTTTGTGTTGAATCTACGCTAGTTAAAGCTTTGAGATAATAGAAATCAGCGCGTCTTAAGAAACATGAAATAGAAATTTTAACGGAATTTACGTTCGTTTAAAGATTTTTGCACGTGAAACAAGTCGGATAACTAGCGCGCAGAAGGTGCCTATCGATTAATCGTGCCGCGAAGATAGCGCGACGACGGACGACGACAGGTAAATCACGCGGCGCTCCGCGCATAAACATCGTGCATGCTGTACGCGTCTCGCGCGGCTCTAAATTAAATTATTATCACGAAATTACACGTTGGGCAATCGGCACCCTATTACCGACAACCCCGTCACTCCGCTCGATCATTACGGACCTAATTCGCGCGGCGCAATAATAAATGTGATTAATGCGCGACGTGCGTCACGTATCGTTGCGCATATTGCTACCGTGCGTAACGCTTTGACAAATTACGCGTCGCATCCGAAGGTGATTAATCATCGTGCGTGGCTCGTTGCACGCGATGCAAGCCGCGACGGGATCGTCGGAGCAAACAACATGCGAATCTCGGAACGGCATACGCTGACTTTGCGAAAAATTCCTTCGAGAAAAGGACTTGCGAATTTTTCAAATTTATCTTCCCAAATTTGTAGAATAATAACAAAAATATTGGAAATTTTACGCAATAAAATATTATAACATTGTAACAAACGGTGTGTTTTGTGAATAAATATGTTAAATAAAATTTTGCGATCCCTAGAAAATTGTATGCAAAATTAAATAAGTGAGAAAAAATCATATTAAGAATATCGTAATCGATTCACCTCGCGAACGGTTTCGGATCGATCTCGTAGTGCTCCGTGATGGGTCCCGTCTTGACCACCCTGGCGAGCTGCGCCTCCTGGACGAGGACCAAGCCTTCCTTCACATGTTTCTCGCTCCATTGCACCCTGCATCGTCCTCTGCATCTCTCTTCGTTCACCGTCCGATCGTTCGCCCGCTTCGTCTTCGCGCACTTGGCCGAAGACGCTTGCAGATTACGATGCTGCGGTCTGGGCGACGTCTTCCTCGCGGACGACATCGTGGGTGCTTGATGATTCGCCTGATAGATCATGGCGAGGCAGTAAACAGATCGCAGTCTCGGGACAATTCTAATTCACTCCAGCGTCGCGCGAAACGGAGACTTCAACGCTTGGCCCACTCGCGCTTTGTCGATTACGCGACCTACTTTTTTATCGAACTCTCTTTCGACAATTTTCGAAATTTCGATCTGTTTAAAGGAGCCAGGTACGTCTCGCTGACGAAAGCTTCTCTCGCGGTCTCGATTACGAACTCGGCGCGCACTCTCGCTTTCGATCTCACGGGCTGCAATCACCACGCTCGATCTCCTCTCGATCGGCCACGCACCGAACCGGAGCGCGCGATATCATTCTACCACGAGGAGACGCGACGACGGCTCTTAACCCGCTGTGCGACGCGACGTTGATCGACGCCGACGTCTTCACATCTTGCGCCGCCGTCCACCCGCCTGGGGAGAAAGAAAGAGAGAGCGAGATCGCCGTGGCACACGGTCCAGCGCCGAGTCGGAAACTGGCCCGCCGCCGGAGTCAACGAGAGCAACGGACCTCCTCCGCGCGCTCCTCTCCGCTTCGCTCTCTTCCTTCTTCGCGCGTCGGAGAGCACGCCGGAGAGCCCGACACCGAGAAACCCCGTCGTCTCCCTGGACCCCGTTTGATCCCCCCCCCCTTCCTCCCCCGTCCTCCCGTCCTCGCGATTCTCCTCCTCCTCCGCCGTCAGGGTCGGATTGAAATCCTCCTCGCGGTCCAGCTTGGTAATTATAGGTGGACATGAAATAGCGCTTCAATATGTAAATAACGTAGCGGGACTTATTGTTCCTCCCGCGCGACAGACTCGACGATTGTAATTTACACTGCGGCTATAAATAAATTAGCGGCGTGTTGTTATTCTTAAAATCTCGTGCTGTAATTACGATACGATCGAAAAATAAAGATTAATAGAAGTGACGTGAGATTTTACGACCGATTCCTTCAATCGGTGTGTGCAGCGTCTCGAGTGGTTCGGAATGATCTAGTTGAGGTCTAGCCACTTGTAGAATAAGTCGGCCGAACGTCCTACTTTTAGATAGCGCGTTTTATTGCACCATTCGGTTTTCAAAACGTCCTACTTTCTTAACGATGCAGAATATTCCTCAGACATTCAATAATATATCAAAACAAATGTCTATTTTTTAAGTATTATTAAACAGATAGATTTTTAGTATATCATAAAAAAATATATATTCCTAATTTTTCGAAAATGTGATGGCCAATATTAATTGGCTGTCGATACCTGAATAATATTTTCGTTTCATTTAAAGCATTTCACATTTTATCAAGGATTATAAATCGGTCGGCCCGAACGCATCGGGACGCCAAAAATATCTCGATTCTCCGCGGGGATTCACGGAAGTCGCACAAAGAGCATCCTCGATCGTGTTACGATCGACGCCATGCGGGAGCCACTTCGAGGAACCTAGAAAGGAAGCGGCGCGCCGCGGCAGAAATTCATCCCCCCCTACTCCCCCACCCTCCTCTTCTCAAGGCGCAACTTATGCACATGCATAATGCACTCGCGCCCGGACATCTACGCTGCGATCGCCGCGCGACTGGATTCCACCTACGTCAGAGGATACTTCACGGCATCGCACCATCGCCATTGCCACTACCACAACTGGACGCGACTGAAAGTAGCCGCGGCAACAAACGAGACGCGTCCGTGCTCGGTCCAGGAAGAAGAGGAATCGCGGTGGACGTGGCTGGACCGAGCGCGGCTTCTCTCTCCCGCCCGGACGACTTTTCGCTCGGGAAATTTTTGAATCGCTAATCTAAAGTAAAGTGTAATCCCGTATTGAGTTTATCTCCGCCGGAGATAGGGATAGGATCGTCTCTTTAATCGCATTCGCGTTTCCGCCACGGAGCCACGGCGGAGTTTCAGGAAGAGATCCGTGTAACCGGATCGACCTTTAGCTTCTCTCGTTACAATAATGGCGCATGGTCGAAGGGCCCGGTCGCACGGTAATTGGAAATTACCGTGTCGTCGCGCATGGTGGGTCACGAGAGCGCGTTCTCGGGAGCGCGCCAACAAAAAAATGCGTCCATCGGCGTCGAGGCGCGCGGCATCTCTCCCTCGGGTAAATTATTGGTGATAACCCGCGCGAGATAACCCGAAACAAGCTGCGCGGGGGGGAAAAAAATCGCGCCGCGAAAGCGAGAGTCGAGGCGACTGTCGTTGCCGTGCGAGCCGCCGGGAGAAATCGCTCGTGCTATTTTTCCGCGGCCCGATTCCTCTCCTACGCCACTGCCGGATGAGAGAAACAACACTCTCGCCGTCCCGGCGTCATCGGAGGCCAGCCGATTTTTCGCGGTCGACATTTTCGCTCTTTATACCGGAGTGAAATAAACACGCTTGTTTGAAACGCGTTAATATATTAATGAACGGCCTTCACCTTCGGAGTTTTCATGCACGCGCGATCATATCGCTTCTCGGAAACAGTGCGAGGCATGTCGTTCTCGAATCCGAGCGCGACATTGCGAAATGCAAAATGTGGTTTATTGCGGACATCTCCAAGTAATTGCGCGCTCGAGATTAGCTCTAATGCCCGGAGGTGGTTATCTCGAGCAGCCACTTGGGCTATCCGTCCGTCAAGTGCGCCGAAAGTACCGTTTTCTTCGCAATAACGAAGTGGAAAAGTGGAGCTGGGCTCGATGTGGCTCGCGCATTGCGTGGGATATTGAATGGTAACCGGGTTGGACCCGGGCGTACGAAACGCAACGGCGGAGAGAAAGTGCCGTTGCCGCGCGTTTGCGGGTGCTTATGATCGGGGAGGCATCTGCGCCTGTTTACGACGGAATTCGCCGCCGGTGTCGCAAAACCAAACCAGTACTTCTCCTTCAGAGGCCGTCGTAAATAACTTTTGACGCGTGTAAATTCGATATCGATATCATTAGCCGGTTCTTCGTGAAATATAATTATTTTTTTAATGCGCGTTTTCTTTAATTATTCGCGTGTAAATTAAATAATACTCCGCGATTGTAAAACGACGAATGAATTTTCAACGAGAAATTACGGCGAAGCGTCTGATAATACATATTTTGCGTCGCGCGCGCGAAATGAAGTTCCGATTATCGAGTTTTTTTGCGAGGTGTTGAGACGCGAGGCGAGGTGAGAGAGAAAACGTCGTTCGATGCATCTCGAGGAGAGCCGCACCGAAAAAGAAAGGAAAAACAACTAGTTCGAGTTGGTCGTCGAAGGTGGCTGAATTGCGAATAGACGAGGCGACTATCCTTGGCATGGTCCGCCGTCGCCGGGAGGTATCTCGCTCGGTGCTAATTGTTGGTACTAATTGCTTGTCACCGCGCTTTCGCGCGCGCGCACACACACGCCGAATACTCGCACGTACGCTTCTCCGTATCGACACCGAACACTCTTGGGGATACGAGGCATGTCGCGGCACACATGCGACGATGGCCGCGCTGTCGATTCCACAAAGGACCGACAAAGAACATTCCGCGAAAGTTTGCACAGACAGCGGCCTCATGGGTCTTTTACGCGAGAGCGGTAAAGCGAGAGCGCATGAAACGGCGGCTGCTGGCTACTTCGTCGCTCGAGGTCCTCGAGCGATTTATTCGCCGGACACGAGACGCTGCTCGGTTAATCGCGCGACTGCAATCCCACGGAGATCGCCTTCGTCTTCGCGGTATTCTAATATCGCGAGATTTCGAGCAAACGGAGGACCTGGAAATCCAAGGTGCATCATAAAATGATTTTTTTCCCGCGATATATTTAAGATTACGTCTAATTGCGCGCGAGAGGAATATTATAATTGGAAATAAATTTAATAATATTACTTTCATCGTTTATAAAATTGCGCGTCGAATCTAATTTCTGCCGTTTTCCGCGCGGACAGATTAAATTTCACTCAATTTCGCCGGAGAAATGCGAGGAAGATCGGCGAGCGTCTCATCGCGCTGGTCGCGAATCTAAATTTGCGTTTCCCGATGCGAAACATCGTGCGACGAGACAGGAGCAGAAAACTCGCATCGATACGCGCCGGTAATATATTCATGAGGCTTTCACGGATGCCGGTGGGTATTAAAGCGAGACAGAGGGAGATTTCAGCTGACGTGAATTCTATTTTGCGACGTCGCACGTCGGTGCTCGTCACTGTCGTCGAAGGTACACGTTACTCACCGACGGGGGAGCGATAACACGGTTTGCGCTTGAAAGTTCAATCCGTAGCGAACTCGTTTAACCCGCGGAGACCGGCTGCCTTCGCTCTCGCCTATCATCTCCTCGCTCGTCTATCATCGGGCGCGCAAGTTTTGCTCGTAGACTACAAAATTGAATCTAATCAAATTAAATTTGCATAGATTTTTCACTTGGTCGCGCGTACGTAACATTCACCTCGCACGTCCGAAAGGTTAAATTTAATCTCAACTTTTCAGCGGCCGCTCGTCCGCAGCCGGTTGTCGTTGTATCATTCCGACGATAGCTCGGAAAAGCTGTACCATTTACAGGAAAAAAGAGACATACGCAACCGCGAGGTCTCCCGGCTCCTATCGCGCCGTTTGAAATCAATTATCCAAAGGGGGCGACCGGGGGGGAGGGGGGGGGGAGGACAACGTATGTGCCGACGTGCGCGAGCCGACGTTGCTTAATGATTTCTGTTTATAGGTCTGCCTACCAGCAGATGCAATAAATTCCGCCGTCGCGCGTCATTGTTGACTTTGATGGCTCGTTTATTTGCGGCACTGTCCTCGGCGCGATACGTTGACGTCTTCGCGCGCAATAAAATCGGGTACGTCTCACTCTCGTGTATCGCCGCGCCGACGCGACGGGGATGAAAAGCGGCGCCGGCGACCTCAAGAAGTCTTCCGGCACGGCACGGCCGACCCGAGGGAGAAAAATCTTATCGCCGATTTACGAGCTTGACGCGCCGAGCTTCTCGGGACTCCTTTCATTTCGAGTCCCGTGAAGAACACATGGCTCCTTTTGAAGATCGAGACTTTTATCGTGCGCGCGGTCCGCACGCGAGTAAAATTAGAACCCGGGTGCGATGTGTGATAAAGGCCGGACGGACGAAGGGGGGCTCGGCGGGCGGTCGCCGAGTGACAAATATAAATGTGTAATCTGGACACGCTCGCCGTGTTACTTGTTTAAATTAAGGAGTCTCTCGCTGATAAAATTTATACAAATATCGTACTTTATCGGAGGGGAGATATATGAAGTCCGATGTGCTTTTGCAAACTATTCGCGAGTGTCGTGTCCGCGATTCAGAATGCTACTCGCACAAGGAACGGCGTACACGGGGAACGCAAATCATCGGCTACCATAAAGGACGGGATGATGTGTTGCGCGCGTTGTTCGCGCGTAATGCGTGCGTCGCGTTTGCACGTGCGAGTTCCCTGCGATTTACGATCTTAGAATTAGACACAATAGGAACGACCCGACTGGCTCGTTCGCGTCTAATAATCGGCTTGTCGCCGTATATGGAACAGGATTAATGTCCGGTGCTGCCGAGCATTTGCCTAGAATTCGCAAATATCGCCCTTAAAAGGATGTCGGCTATCGAGGGAGATAAGATTTTCGTAACCGTTCGCACCGCTTGGCGAACAAATGAGTCGCGATCCGCTTATCCGTTTGAGAGATACAAGTTCTACGAGTCTTTTCTCGAGAGCCCGCGATACTTCCGCAACGGCACAAATCACAAAGGATTGCAGTTTAACGCGCCGAAGCGTGAGAGCAAAGTTATCGAAATTCGCATGAGAGAAGCTAGAATCGGAATGACGGTCGCGTTTCATGCGCCATGTGGTGCGAATCGGCTTGAAATCCGCCAGGACGAAATCGGTCTGCCCTGTAATTAGAGGCTCGCACGCCGCGGTATTTCATTCGACGTCCGTTTCGAGACGTCCGTTGGAGCAATTCCACACGTGTGCGTTATTCCTTCCTCCTCTTTTTGCAATTCTCTTCCTTTCTTCGCCCGGCGATTACGCAGTAACGCGCGAGACAACTCGCACCCTGACCTACACGCTAATTAACGAATTATCATTCGACAGCGCGAGCGGCGGCGCGACTTTATTTGGTCGCGCCAGGTGTTACGATCGGCACGCCGGCGTTGATTTAGCAATTTCTAGGCGCCACGAAACGCCAAGTAATCGCTCGTCGCCCCCGGCACTTTCCATTATCGGCATAATCCGAGAGGCTGAAATCCGCGAAGGCCGTCGTCACGGCGGATAAAGTGGAAAGAGACAGAGTCGCCGCCGCCGTCCTCTCTCGTTTTCCTGCAAAATTCGACGCGGCACGGATGAAAGCGTGGGAAATCTCGCGCCTCGTCACGGAAACGAGCCTAAAGAGATGGCAAGGAAATTTCTCTACCGATTTCCAATAATCTGCTAACGAATTTAACTGCCAATGAATTTATTCTTGTATATAAAATACAATATCCTGCAATTTTACGATCGCGTTTTATTATATAAAACATTATTCTTGTTATTGTTTGTCAAGAAAAGATGATGAGAATTTTAGTGAAGCTTGAAAGTTAGAAATATCTTTTTCATCTTTTACGGAAGATCAGAGTTTATACGCGGTTAATTTCTGAATTTCTTGAATATGCGAGCGCGACGCGTAGGCATCAAGGTAAAGTCGCGCGCGGTTTTCAGCGCGATTATATCACGTTTCATTCAATTGCAAAACGCGCGTTTATAGCGAGCACACTGTTATTATCTATTAAAATGGCAGTATCTGGCTGTATCGGCTGATTACGTAGTCGCTCGGTGACACAATCGTATTAATGTATAATCGCGGTTTCTCCGTTCGCCCTGTGATCATTGCAAATGTTATTCCGGCAAATAAATCGTGAATTAGAACGTGAACGTTATATAACCTCACAATGAGGGAGGGGAACTCCGCCAAGTGTCGTTACGTTTACTTTTAATGAGAACGCAGCCTCTTATTTTAATATTTAGTTTTATGATAATTCAAAGTTTCGATTAATCGCGAATTAATGAATATTGCGAAGCAAATCACGCGCTTCGCATTATCTTCCGAAAGCCAAAGGACATTTTCCAGGTCTCCGTGTGGCAGAAAAGTCTTTAGAGGTGAATCATCGCGGCAGCTGCGTCGCTGCTAATGTATACCTATTTATAGGATAAAAGGCGACATTCTCGGAAAAAGTGTTCCATTCGCCATATCGGTGGGCAAACGCGCAGATCCAGGGCCGCCCTACCACCGTCCTCGCCGGTGTATCGCGATTTTAATCAGATGACAGGACAACACGCGCAGCACGCATCTCCCGCAGACGCTCTCCCCCAGCAGCCTCCCTCTATTTTTAATCGCATTGCTATTCCACCCTTTGGTCGTCCCGCGAGAGAGGAAGAGTGTTGAATTATTTATAATAATGCCGGATAGGAACAACCGTCGGCATTAATGCGCGAAACGGATTCCTTCTGTTCGCGCCCGTCGAGTGCATTGACCACGCAACGTCAAAATATCTCGCTTCAAGCGTTATTCGAAAATGACAACTAAAGGCATAATTCATTTATGTCGAGAGAACGTCTTCCTGTTCTCTTTTTAAACTAACTTCAATTAACGCAGAGTGTATGGATGAGTAATAAAAAATGTATATAAGTAAAATTCTGAAATAAATCTAAAATTAAATCTAAATTAATAAAATCTAAATTTAGTATTTATTTACACAAAATATAAATAAATACATAGTTTCCAGTGCAAGTTTCTTCAACATGTGTCTATACGCTATAGTGTGCAAGCGCATCCTTTCACTAGGCAACCTGTTCAGCACTGCTGCATGCACGATACTTAACATCTAAAGTGAGTAACTGGAAACGTGGAACATTGGAAAGGTTTTGCCTAGGAGAATGACGGAAATAGTAAAAGAAACTTGCGCTATAGCTTCGTATGCGTATTGTTGCATTTATTTCGTACGTATTATTAAAATTAATACAATGACAGAAGTATTTACAGGAGGCTTTTAGCAACTACATGCGCGACTGTAACCTTCGCGATTAATTCCGGTATTAATGGTATAGTAATAATAATGTAATAATATATAGTTTAATATATATATAATAATAATAATTATTATAGAATATAATAATAATAATAATAATGATAATAGAGAATATATCGGACAGCGCGGCGTGTCCAAGTAGCGCAGAAGACAAGAGACGACGCATCTTTTCTCACGGTATTGGTTTAACACAAAGGAAAAAGCATGAAGTGAAAATTGATTAATTCTGACTAATGACATATCACAAAGAAGAAGAAGAATAAATAATTGCGAATTCACCGCGAGAAAACGTAAATGTCGGCTCGCTCCGAATCACGCCGCTCTCGCCCGTCGTAGCAAAATTATATTACAAATTTATCCTGCCCTTTGATTCTCGGGGACACATCCTGAACCACATTCCCACCCACACGCGCAGACCATGCATCTCGAGGGGGAATTGTGTACGCGCTAGAATTGTACCGCTTGAATGTGTACCGCCGTCGCCGCGCGACGTATCTTACTGTTTAATTTCCGTGTCAACCCTTGGATAATTTCCGACCGGTCGCGAAGTCAACGCGATCCGCAGGGTTGAGAATCGGTCGAATGATCACCTCGCTTCACGAGGTCGGAGAGCATTTCCGCGCTTTTGCTTCGCATTCGCGCGCAATGGTTAAAGCAGCCATTGAAGAGAAGATCAAAAACATTGTGCGATCCTGCTCGCGAAATATTCAACATTCTTTCGACACTCCCGGTATAAATTGCGAAAATTCTACATTTTCATAGTCTAAACGGTAGAAATCCTCGAAATAGTCAACATATCAAAATGTGCTCTTTATATCTTCATATAATTTTGAGAATTGTATCTTGCAATTTTGAAGAAACCACCAAAAACATAGTTTTCTTTACAAAAATGATACAAAATGAGTTTTAAATATATTTACATCGTATTACAAAAAGTTTCGTGACGTTAAAATATGTTACTGGGAAATTTCACGTTCTCGCGTATCCCATAAATTTATGCAGAGAAATGTACAAATTTGCGCGGTTGGACGAGACTCTCATGCTGCTCAAAGTGAGGCTCGCTAACCAAGTTCGTTATTTTTGCAACGCTCTCGTCCGCTCTTCTTTCTTTTGTCGTCTCAAAGACACAGGTCGCTCGTTAGCGTTATGCCAACAAGCGTGTGTCCGTGACGAGATGAACGAAAATTGGAGGCGCGAAAAAAGGGGGGAACGAGCGTGAGAAAGAAGACGAACCGCGTTTATGACTAGCATTCATAGCGCTACCACGCGAGCTACTCGCGTGTCTTCAATTTGCGCGCGATAATGAATTCCGTGGATAAATTCGCGATGTGTGTATGTGCAATTTCGATTTCGCGTGTATGCGAGAATTATACGGGGAGCAGACGAGGTGGATCATTCTTTTTACGTGCATGACGTGAAATAATTATAAAATAATTAAAGAAAAAAAATACCGATTTTAAAGCACATCTAATCATGATTGATATTTTTCACAAAAAAAAAATATATACATGATACAACTTGTGAGCAATTCCTTTTCCCTTTGATAAATGTGCGACGAGAGTCGAAGTTTTCGGTGGTTTTCGTGCGACGAGAGTTCACTGACATCCGAAGGGCTTGACCCCGCGTTGTTGACCTTCTCTGCCGAGGCCGCATTCGAGCTAACTTAAGAATTAGAGACGCCTAGAAGACTCGTCTAGGCTCTCAATTTCGATCTCCCGCGAAGCGTCGCGCGCAATTAAGGCACTTTTCACACCGGCAAGTACCTTCTTTGTCTTCTGTACATCACAGTCTAGTGACTCGAAACCTTGCTGCGTACCGGACAAGTTAAACGTAGGCACTGGCGACATCGTATTTTACGCACACGCATTGTGATTCCCTTAAGAAAGGCACCGGAGTGTTTCTATCTGGATTGTCGCTGGCTGTCGTCGACAACCAGTATGGCAATTTTGATGGAATCACGCGTGATGCACCGAGATACAATATAAGCGATTGCTAGAAATGCAGATTGATTTTTCTCATAATGAAAATCAAATGCTCAAATTGTCGAAACATGTAGCGTCGATAAGACGGTTTCTTTTTTCAATTTCAATTATCAATACATAAATACGTAAATATCTTATATTTAAAATATTGAAATGTCCGCATTAGTTATTCGTTTCGAAAACTCGTATTTCGGAAATCAAGTCCATTAGAATCAAAGTGTTGTTTCAAAACGTGTTTCGGTGCATGGCGCGCGATGCAACTTGAGCCTTCTTCAGCTCGAAAGGACGATCGATCAGTCTATTAGTAAGGGCAGACTGTAAGAGCTGCCTCGGTCCAAGTCTCTTTTCCGCGTCGAGCGTCTTTTTCAGATGCTCGTGGGTTCTGCTATTTACACTTCGCCAAACAGCGACGGAGAGATCCGGTCGAGATTGCCGGAGAACCGCGCATTATTCCCGACCGACCGACTATGCGTGACCTCATTGCGGCAGAATGCGTTTCTCCCGGAATTCGGTGTCGGATGATGCGACGACCTCCGTTCGACCTTCCCCCGGATCTCCGTCGTCGGTCTGGGCGCGGGACCACCCCCGAAATCGGCGTCGCCGCAACCGCAGGCTTCTCTTTTCTTTTTCTTTTCTTTTTCTTCGCGTAAGTCACGCAACTCATTCCGTCGCATTCGTTCCCTTCTCTGATTACTCGAATATGTACATCAAGACCGCCCTCCTCGAAGCTGCTCGTTTGCTCGCTCCACGAAGAAGAAGTCAGCACACACGCAGGCACGCCGCAAATTCACGCACTCACGTACTCACCCGTATTTACAACAGCCATTTGTTCGCTTTGATATGCTACGAGCTACGATCTCTCGATCGGCACCTTCGCGAAGGCACGCGTGTAGAAGCGTTTCGTATGTATATGTATACACGCGGGATACGTTTATGCGCTGCCTAATGTACGATCGTTCTCGGGTTGCCGAGGAATCCGGCAAAAGTCGGGCTAGGGACATCGAGAGGCTGTTCGGGAATTCTGGAGATCAGGTTCGGGTGGTGTGCATAACTTTTCGCTCTCCTCCGCTACGAAATATTTACGGCTACATATTATATATATATATATCGCGATCGAGTTACATGTGATGCTGCTTCGCAAAATCTCTCGGTCGGATACGCCTATGACACAGATCGTCCTCACCGGCGATAGATAAAGCACACCGCCTTCTCCGCAAACTTCACGTTCCCCTAAACGCTATCACAGCATTGTGCACTTTACGAGAAATAGATTCAGAAGTAATTTCTTTCTTTCTTCCTTTTTTACAATTGTCGCATGGCACACGCACTCTCGACTTTACCGTCCTACCGCGACAATCGTAAACCGAGAATCCGAATTCTATTTTTCATAAAGCTCATCGTTCTATATTCTCGTGGAAACCTGAACCCTGCCGGAAGAATCTTCTCCGTCCTCGCAGTCACAGCCTTCACGAACCCCGAGGAACTTTATCTCCTCCCTTCGCTTCACCCTACACATCCCTAAACACCTTGCTGCTCAAAACTTGCCCTTTTCCTCTCTCTCACGTCACTGTATACACGCGATGTGTACAACTGCCTCCCCCATCTCTCCCGGTAATTCCTCGAAGAGGCCGGCAGACGTCCGTCCACCTGGCGCAAGTGCAATTTAAGGCGACACCTGCCCGCGCGGGACGATCTTACGAAGCTTCATGCACCTGGAACCGCCGGATTCGCGCCTGCACCGACTCGCACTGCACCTCGCTGTATCTGGTGTATCTGCCGGCGCGCACGGGCTCCCGGATGACCACCAGGTTGCCGCCCCGCTCGCGGAGCGCCTCGAGGCCGATCTTGCTGGCGCTGCGCAGTGCCGTC